GCTTTATTATAATTATCTTGTATTTACACGAAAAAAATGACGGTAGTTTCATTCAGATAATATTATTGTATTTTTTTTTATTATTATATATTGTTATTATTGTATTTTTTGTTATATTAAAAAAATAGCAGAAAATAAATTATTCTAACAGTGCAGTGTTGTAAAAAGAGCATAACATGATCCAATATGCATTAAAACATGTTAGAATTTAATCATGAAAATCAAAACATATTTAGTTTCAGTAAAAGGTTAAAAATCCTTATTTTTCACTAACTCAAAATGAAAATTTAAATATTTATCTATTATTACTGTAAAAAAAAAATTAAGTGTTGGAAAATAAATGTTTTAAACTTAGTACTAATTAGAGTAATCTAAGATAACTTTTACATTATTTTAGTTAAAAAAATAAACTGAGACTTAAAAATATTTATAATTTGAATTCGATAAAACAATTTAAATTTGATGTTAATCACAGTGTTTTAAAGTAGCTCCATAGTCCTATTGTTTCAATTTAAATTCAAATAGTCTTGATAGAAGAAAATTTACCTTTTTATTCAATCTTATTAGAATATCACTAAAATGTATCATATTTGCTTTAACTTTAGTCAAAATTTTCCAAAGTCAACACATGTTTTTATTTGAGTCAAGCTAAAGATTAGGGAATATTTAAGTCATTTAAGAATTTTTTTTTACACTTTTATTAAAAAATATTGTAGTTATGCAAAATCTAAACATGTAATGGACCTCAGTTAAGTTATTTTTTGAGTTTCAATCAACAATTTTTTTCACTCACCCTTCAGTAAGAGTTTTGGTAGTTGATCTTCGTCTATAATTTTTTTTTTTGTTCTGGTTAGCATCATTTATCTATTTGTAATAAAGTGTATATTTTTGGTTGATATCCAGGTAATAAATGTGACATTTATAATTGATCTTGACTAAACTTTATGCAGTTCATTCATTCTTGAATTTTTTATTTCATTTAAGTTAAAACATATTTTATTTATTCTAAAATATCAACATATTACACGTTAAAGTGAAAGGAAAAAAAAGAAAACAAAAAGGAATGAATCCTAATACTTGTGAAAAGATGCCGAATCAGATCTGACACATCAGCCCTAATTTGTGGACTCACGCGCTTCAACCTTGACGTGCAGACAATGTCATCTTAACTTTTGTCGTTTCTGTTTTGACTCTGAACGCTTGCGGTGCATCATTCTCGAAAAGGCCCTCAGTTTTTTCCTTAATTAAGAATTTGTCTTTTATTTATTTTTTAATTTATTTGTTCAAGAGATTGGATAACTGTTCGCAATTACAATCATTAAATATTTAAAATAATAAAAAAATAATAAATTTCACACTTTTTTATATTTAAAAAATGTAATAAAAACATAATATAATTTATTTCAATTTTTTCCTACTTCTTCTCTTTACAGTATCGTGAAAATAAATAACGTGATAATATTTTACTTAAGAAAATTAATACTTTATGAATACTTTCATATAAATTGTAATTTAATTAGAAAAAAATTGTTCCAAAAATATATGCTACTTAGGGTAAAATAAAATATACACATATCAAATTCAGATGCACAAAAAGTCAATGAAGTGTATTTTCTACTTTACCTACCCATTTGAAATTTTCAGCTGCCACTTTCATCTAATTATATATATATATATATATATATATATATATATATAGATAGATAGATAGATATAGATATAGATATTTTTAAGTTGTGTTTCAAAATATTCTAAAAGACTTACAAAAAGAAAAATAAAATATATAAAAGAGACTCCACTCAGCATAGTATTATACAGCAAAGCATAAAATCATCTTTAATAAACAAGTTCTTTCTAAGAGTTTGTTGATAAAAATATTAAAAATTATATTTTATATATATGATTATTTTAAATTTAAAAAACATACAAATAATGATTTAATATAAATAAAGTTACATAAATCAGTGCAGAATAAAACTGTGAAGAATGAGAGAGGGAAAAACACATATCTAATTTTGGCGGATGAAAATTTGAATGAAACGCGGGATTCGGAGATAACTAGAGTACATTGGTTGACCCCTCAACTGGAGTTGATATTTATGTAGTAATGCTGTATTATTCTCCATCAATATTTTCCCATGTTTAGGATACACCACAACATTTTAAAAGTTAATAATTTATAATGTATTCATTTAATTTCACGGTTTTTTTTTTTTTAATTTCTGATAACTCATAATCCATACTTTCACTAGTTATTTTTAACACTTTTAGATAAGAGTTTGTCATGAAAAATATGAGATTTGACCTATGATATTCATAGGAGCTTCAGAAATTTTTGTTACTTAAGTATTTAAATTATTTTTAATTCAAAAATAAAATAAAAATACGATAAATATGAGAAAATATTTAAGGAAACAAAGTATATTAAAATATAAATTTTTATCCTTGTATGAAAAAATAAGTGTAATTTAGATTAAAAAAATGAGTAATTTTTTTTTATCAAATACATGTGTGTTGAATTTCCGTATTTTACTTTTAAAAAAACAAATTTGTAAGATTTCATAAAATCACGTTGGACATATGTATTTTTTATTATTATTTATTTTACATGTTCATACGTGTTTATATAACAATATTCATATTAAAACAATAAGCTATGTATTATTTGAGTTGTAATTTTACTGAAATTCATAATTATTTCTGTATTGTTTATCTTTAACTAGGACAAATCAGAAATGATATTAATAAAAAAAAACAATAAAGATTAGTGATGGTATTTTTTCTTTGTTTATAATGTTATAATGAATTGTCTCAGTGAAATCTGATTTTTTTTTTGTTTTTAAGTTTGACGAAAGAAATAAAAGACACGTATATATATATATATATATATATATATATATATATATATATATATATATAAATAAAATAAAATATTATGATAGTGTTTAATATTATTGGCGTAATACATAAATAATTACATTTTTCTCACGTAATATCAATTTTTTTTTAAATATGCCATGTATTCATTGAATAAATGATTTTTTTATATGAATGCATAAAATACATTTAAATTTGTCTATTTCAATGAATATATTAATAAAGTAATTATTTAAAATTTAATACAAATATATATATACACCTTTTTTTAATGTTTAAATAAATAACCTCATAAACTATTATTTAAAATAGAAAAAAATAAATGTATTGTAATCAAATATGTTCCTTATTCTCTCTCAATGAATTAAAAGTACAGTAATTAAAAATAAAATAATTATAACAAAATTTATGTTTTATTTATACACACATTAATTTTGTTATCCCTTTATTTAAAACAACTCGTTTTATGAATATGTTTTAAAATATAAATTTAGCACTAATTAATGTAATATTATTTTTTCTATATTTGTTTAAAATAAATATTTCTAAAAAAATTATTTTAAATATAAAAATTAAAATATATTTTTTTATGTGTCTTAATATATTCTAAAATAAAATAAAAATATGTTTCAAAGCCTCCAAGTCATTGTTGTCAATAAAATTTTTGCAAATTGTTAAAAAATAATTCGATACGATTTTACATATTGTCATTTAGGTAATGTAAATTTATCTCTTATCTCTAAAATAATTTTGATAGCGTTTATTTATGTCAATAGTTATTTATGATAAACCAAAACTATTATTTATATATTTAAATTATTTATTTACTATATTACTAATTGTATGAATTAACTGATAAAATGTTATAGTAAAATATTAGTTTATAAATTGATATAAAAAGTAAAAGAAAAAAGTATAATAATATTATTATATTATTAAAGTAACTGTGTTTCACAAATTGCCAATTAAAATAAGTATTAAGTGACTATTAATATATTATCATATTATAAAATAATATTTTTGTGTTAGAGCAAATTTATAAACTTTTATTTATCAGTTATGTTTTTCAATTCATTAATTTTATGATCTATGTTTGGAAATATATAATTTGAGATTTTTATATTTAAATTAATATCTACTTGTAATTTTTTTATTACTGTAAAATTAATAAAAAAGCAGAGATACATAATATACAATTTTAATTATTATTTATATTAAATATTAATATAATGTTTAATATTTAATTTTTAGTATCTATAAAATGAATTCGATAAAATATTTAAAACAATATGATAATACTATTAATAAAAGTTTTTTTTTAAGTTATTTGACTTTTTATTTATATTTAATATGAAATTTTAACTCATTTAAATTTTTTAATAACATTCTATTAATTATGATTTTTTTATATTAGCATAAACTTTCTTTTAGTATAACATTTATTAATTATTTATATTAACGAGACACACCAGTTTAAATTTTTCATTACAGATATATTTTTAATATAATGACACGTAATTTAGGATTTATCATCTATTTTAATTATATTCATTGAGTCTATGCCCATATAAACTATAAAATTTAATATTATTATTGGGTATTTAAAAAGGATGGCCACTTAACAATTTTCATAAATGAGAAAATGACAAATATATTAGAATCATTTAATGAAAAATCAAGTAAGAAGTTTGTACGTATATTACTCAATATGAATTTTTAATTGAGATTTTAATTCTCAATAATTTTTCCTTTATGTACACCTTTTTTTATTTTTATAGTAACCCTTATTTATATTTTAATTTATAAACCAATGAATCATTTGTTAAAAACCTTTCAAATAAAACTTTTAATACAATAAGACTTTTAATACAAAATGGACACATATAAACAATTTTCTGAGTTTTGTTTTTACTTAGGTAAAATATTTAATTTTTTATGTTTCTATGTGAGATTAACAATTTGAATTTCCAACAATTCATGTTCTTATACTAATATTTAATAAAAAATTTATCATAAAATTAATAAATTATTTTATATTTTTTTTATTTAAAAAACACAAATTAACGTTATTAGAATCAAAACCAATATTTAATATTATTATTATAATATGTGAGAAGGGTGAAATGGTAAAGTGGGAAGGGTGTTTACTGCTGGCGTAAATAACGGCCGAAAAATGGGCACTTTGATTACCCGAGAGGCCCATACATAAAAGCTGATTGACGAAAAATAAAAAAATAAATTAAAAAAGTGAAAGATACGAAAAAAGAAAAAAAAAAGAATTAAAAAAACAGTAAGGAAATATTATATGGGCGGATTCGAAAGGAGTTTGAAATATAGTTTTATAAGATGGGTTGAGTTCCGGTTCTACACTTTCTCTCTCTATCTCTATCACCTTCTCTCTCTCTCTCTCAAGGTTCTCTTTGTCCCTTATCACCTCACGTTCTCACTTTCTCGCCCCATACAGGTTTTCCACCAGCCAAGAAACGGATAGAAAATTTTCAGAGCCACCACCGTTCAGAGAACACATCACAACAAGAGTCTCTCTCTTTCTCTGTCAATATCTCACTCTCAGCTACATGGCCTCACTCTTTGATCTGAATCCACGTCGCTGAACTCATTCCCTCTCCGTTTATCCCCCTTTCCCTCTCGAATCCGCCTCTTCTCTCTGTTCTGGCATCCGAGCTCCGCGGAAGCCCTAGGTTGTTTTGCGGCGCGCCGATTCGGCTGCCGCGTTTAGTTTTCTGTTCGATCTCTCCAAACGGCGTCGCGTGGTTCAGCGCTGTGAACCCTAGGTCGTTGGATCTGGAGGCGGAGGTCACGTTAGCGGGGCTACGGTTTGCTTTTCGGTGAACCCTAGGTTTTCGTTTCTGTGGCTGCCCATGCTATTGGGTTGGTTTTGATGCCGCCTGAACCATTGCCTTGGGATCGAAAGGACTTCTTCAAGGAGAGGAAGCACGAGAGGTCCGAGTCACTTGGGTCCGTCGCCAGATGGAGGGACTCCTCGCACCACCGCGACTTCAATCGCTGGGGATCCGCCGAGTTTCGCAGACCGCCAGGTGAGTTTTCATTCCCTCTTTTCATTCGCTCCCAATATCTTTTGAGTTAGCGTCTTCTTTCGCCGAACACGCCGGAATAGCCGCTCATCGGTTTTTTCTTCAGGTTTTGTTGTTTTTCTACCCTGGAAGAGAGTTTCTGAGTGGTTTATGAATTTGGGAGATTGTTCTTTGCGTATTTGGTACTTTTGAGGGTGGAGCTTGCTTTATTTTGAAAGATCTGTGACTGTGGTTGTTGTGGGAATATTTTTATTTAAGCCTTGAAGAGGGTTTTTCTTTTCAACAAAATTTCTGTGTTCGTTTTTGATTGTCTATGCCTTTTCTGGGTGCGAGAATATATACCTTGCTTGTGTTGATTTTTTGTATTTTCTTTTTTTGTTTGAAAATTTTCTTAAGGTCATGGTAAGCAGGGCGGTTGGCACCTGTTTTCCGAGGAATCAGGTCATGGGTATGCGATTTCACGGTCAAACAGCGACAAGATTCTGGAGGAAGATAGTCGGCCCTCGATTTCACGAGGTGATGGGAAATATGGCAGGAGCAGTAGGGAAAATAGAGGACCCTTTGGTCAGAGAGATTGGAGAGGGCATTCGTGGGAACCCTCCAATGGTACTATAAATTTGCCCAGAAGGCCGCAGGATGTGAACAATGACCAGAGGTCTGTGGACGATACCCTAGCATACTCTTCTCATCCACATTCCGATTTCGGGAACGCTTGGGATCAGCACCACCTGAAAGACCAGCATGAGAAGATTGGTAGTGTCAATGGGTTGGGAGCTGGCCCCAGAAGTGATAGAGAGAACTCTCTGGGTGAGTGGAAGCCACTTAAATGGACCCGTTCTGGAAGCTTGTCTTCTCGGGGTTCAGGTTTTAGCCACTCAAGTAGCTCAAGGAGCATGGGAGGAGCAGATTCTCATGAAGCGAAGGCTGAGTTACGACCCAAAAGTGCGGCTGCTAATGAGTCGCATTCAGGGGAAGCTGCTGCTTGTGCGACATCTTCCGTGCCATCCGAAGATACGAGTTCTCGAAAAAAGCCAAGGTTGAATTGGGGCGAAGGACTTGCTAAGTATGAGAAGAAAAAAGTCGAGGTGCCTGATGCAACTGCAAACAAAGATGTCACAGAACCTTGTAATTTTCTCAGTACCAGCTTAGTTGAAAAAAGTCCCAAAGTAACTGGATTTTCCGAATGTGCATCTCCTGCAACTCCATCTTCTGTTGCCTGCAGTTCCTCTCCTGGTATGTTGCTAGATACTGTCTGTCTGTATTTTAAATCCTGGTTTGAAAGATTTATATGAGCAAAGTTGCAATTTTTAGAAGGGTTTGCTACTGGCAGTGTGATATCAAATGTTGTATCTTTGTATATAGGTTATAGTGAATTATACTGTGATATTTTGAGGTTTGACTTGGTATTTCATAGAGAATTGTGGTGGAATAGTAGTCAGTCATCTGGCAAACAATTGTCTATGTTCTATTCTGTTTACCACGTAATTTATTTTTTGTTAAAATTTCAAAACTGGTTTTGGGAGCTCTGCTTAACTGATTTTCTTTATTCACAATTCTCTTTGTAGCCATCTTTTCTTCGTTTGTTACATAAAAGCTTTACTTTGTTGATGTTTTCTTCATAATCATCATTATAATTTAATGACAATATCTTATCCTCCTTGATCACCATAATCTTTCTTTTTGCAGTGCTTTTATTCTTTATTTATAAAGAGTGTTAAATTAGCATTGTTGGTTCATAAAATTGCCATTAGTTTTTTTTTTAACGTATTTGTCTCTCACCAACCCCCAAATCAGCATTACTAAATGTTCAAAACTGTTATAACATTATTGGTTGATTAACTTGGCAAGTGTTTCTCTGTCCACTAGATGGTCTTTTTACAAGCATCTCCCTTGGCTCCCTCTATCTTTTTATTGTGTGTAATATGTCTCATAGGTGTTCCATTTCTGCTCTCCTTTTTCTATTAAGTGTTCCCTTGGCATTCTTAAGTGCTTTAGTCTTTTTGTGCATGTGTTTTTTTGTTCAGTCTGTGCTCATTTAAATGCTCCCTTTTATTATAATATTTTGAATTCAGAAAAGAACGGTAGGTACCATTTTTGAAACGTCTGTAACTGTTATGATTGATATGAAAAGAAAAGCTTGAAGAACTTGATTGTTAATGAGTAGGGCCTAAACTTAAACATAAAATGAAATCTCTTTAAAATAATTCCTTTAATGTAGGTAATAATTGACATTTCAACTATTGTATGATGTCCCTAGGTTTTTTATTATTGTTGAGATCGTATTTCTCAAACATTTATTATGTTCCAGCTTCTGTTTTCAACCAGTACTCTACTTGCTTTGATAGGAGCATGACTTGTAGGATTTACAATGCCGTGCATTTGTATTGAACATATTTATATTTTGAGGTCAATATTCAATTAAATGGATAATAAGCATGTTCAATCCTTATTTGGATATATGTTTTGTTCAGATATCTTATATTTAACTGTCCCATATTTTTCTCCTTGTTTTTTTTTACATTTTCCTGAGCTTAGATGAATAATGGCAACTATGATTTTTCCCTCGATTTTCCTATAGTAATACTGTAATTGTTGTATTTTATTTATACACATTTCCCTATGTTAATGTGCCAAAACCTAACCTCAACCTTTTACCAGGTATGGATGATAAATTATTTGGGAAGACTGCAAATGTAGACAATGATGTTAGTAATTTGACTTGTTCACCTGCTCCCGCATCTGAAAATAATCTGCAGAGGTTTTCATTTAACTTAGAGAAATTTGATATTGGCTCCTTGAGTACTTTGGGTTCTTCAATTATTGAGTTGGTACAATCTGATGATCCAACTTCTGTAGATTCTGGTCCAATGAGGTCCAATGCAATTAATAAGTTACTGATATGGAAAGCTGACATTTCAAAGGTGTTGGAGATGACTGAATCTGAGATAGATTTACTTGAAAATGAACTGAAGTCGCTAAAATCTGAATCTGGGGAAAGATGTCAATGTCCGGTAGCCCTGGGCCCCCAGATGGTTAGTGGTGATGAAAAATCCTGTGAAGATCAAGTTGGAGTCTCTGATCTGGTCACTCGGCCGATACCATTGAAAATTGTTGATGATCCAACGGAGAAGGTGCCACATTCAGCTAATTTACATTGTCTTAATGAAAATGTTAGGGAAGAGGATATTGATAGTCCTGGAACAGCTACTTCTAAATTTGTTGAGCCTCCGCCTTTAACTAAAGCAGTTTCTTGTGATACCAGAGAATATGTTAACTTCTCCAGCGACATGGATTCAGTTCCTTCTGCAGCTGTGCAATGTCTAATTCCCTGTACTGCTAGGAAAGATGTTAGTGTAACTTGTGTTGACAGCAAGACTTCTCTGGAGGTAAAGGATAGCATGGATATTTTATGTGATACTATTATTTCTTCCAATAAAGAATCTGCCAACAGAGCTAGTGAGGTATTTGATAATTTATTGCCCAAAGACTGTTGCAAGATTAGGGAGATGGGAACTAGCAGTGACACATGCAATAATATTAGGGAAAAATTTGCTCAGAAAAAGCGATTCTCAATGTTTAAGGAGAGAGTTATTGCACTTAAGTTCAGAGCCCTGCATCACTTGTGGAAAGAAGATATGCGCTTACTTTCTATCAGGAAATGTCGACCAAAATCTCACAAAAAAAATGAACTAAGTGTGCGAACTACATGTAATGGTAACCAGAAGAATCGATCATCCATTCGATCACGTTTTCCCTTTCCTGGTATGGATCTCTCTCAATTCTTTTACTTGTCCCAGTGATTTTGCAGTCTTTCTTTAGTTAATTAGTTTAGGTAGTAAAATATATATTATTTTCTGTATGCAGAGGATATTGTTAATGTTAAAAGAAATAGAGGTGGTTAGTTTTCCCTTGTAATTTGGATTTTTTGATATCAATCCTCTCTATTATTTGCTGCTTATTTGCTTGTTTGTCATATATCCCTGTGTTTGGAGGAAATAGAAGAGTATCCTCAGTCCATTGCTTATTTGCTTTCTGTAAGATAAATCTGAAGGTTTGGGCCAAGCAGGAGGGTATTGAGCTTGTAAGAGGAAGGATGTTGATGTTTTTGTACTGTTCTCTCTGTATACAAAGGATTGAACAAATTCCTATTTGGTTTGGGTAGCTTCACTAACATTTTTAGGTTTGATTATGTTTCTTAAACTAACTACATCCTTACTTAGGGTTTAGACTACTTTTGAACCAGTCACAAAGTTCACACATTTCATTGCTCGTTCAATTACATTTATGGTCATGGTTGATAGCTAGCTCCTTTGTTTTATTTGTGAACTTTCCGGTTCAATTTTATTTGTAAATGAATAATTTGGTATTTGCTGATTACCTGCTGCGTGGATTGGTTGAGCTTTTCATTTTGTCCACGAAAGTAGTTGGTGCCTAGCAGGGTTCTGAAAAAAAGCCTGAACTTGATAGCAGCACTTTGAATATGTTGAGAGGTTTACTGGTGAAGTTAGGTTGGTTGATAGAAGAAATTTGAATTTTGCAGTATTAAAGATGAAAAATGTTGGTAATTTGGAGCTTCTGTTCAGTTTTTATTTTACTTTATGTCAGCAAATGTTCAGGATTATTTTTTGATTGTGCTGTAGTACGAATTGTCTTCATTTTTTGACTGTGTTTTGAAGTTGCACATGACGTTTTATAGTTTGTTCATTTCGTAATTTGTTTAGCCCTTATGTTGTGATGATAACCATGCTTTTTTTCCCCCTCGTTTCTTCTGTCTGCAGCAGGAAATCATCTTAGCTTGGTTCCAACATCAGAGATGATTAATTTTACTGGCAAACTGCTTTCAGAATCGCAAGTTAAAGTGCAGAGAAACACACTGAAGATGCCGGCATTAATTTTGGATGAAAAAGACAGGATGACTTCGAAGTTTGTATCTAGTAATGGGCTGGTTGAAGATCCTTTGGCTATTGAGAAAGAAAGGGCTATGATTAATCCCTGGACACCACAAGAGAGAGAAGTTTTCTTGGAGAAATATGCTGCCTTTGGAAAAGATTTTAGGAAAATTGCCTCTTTTCTTGATCACAAGACAACTGCTGACTGTGTTGAATTCTACTACAAAAATCATAAATCTGATATCTTTGAGAAACTTAAGAAGCAAGGTGTTGGTAAGCTGGGGAAGTCATTTTCAGCTAAAACTGATTTGGTGGCATCAGGTAAAAAATGGAACCGTGAATTGAATTTTGCTTCCCTTGAAATTTTGAGTGCAGCTTCGTTGATGGCAGATGGCATTGCAGGTAATAAAAAAATTCGGGCAGGAAGCTCTCTTTTGGGTGGGTATGGTAAAGTAAAGACATCAAGGGGTGAAGATTTCATGGAGAAATCAAGTAGCTTTGACATTCTTGGGGATGAAAGAGAGACTGCTGCTGCGGCTGATGTATTGGCAGGTATATGTGGTTCCCTTTCATCTGAGGCCATTAGTTCCTGCATAACAAGTTCTGTTGATCCAGTAGAAGGTAGCCGGGATAGAAAGTTCATGAAAGTGAACCCTCTATGCAAACCACCCACGACACCTGATGTTACTCAGGATGTTGATGATGAGACTTGTTCAGATGAGAGCTGTGGTGAAATGGATCCAACAGATTGGACTGATGATGAGAAGGCTTCTTTTCTTCAGGCTGTATCATCTTTTGGAAAAGATTTTGTCAAGATAGCCCGGTGTGTTGGGACAAGGTCCCAAGAACAATGCAAAGTTTTCTTCAGCAAAGGCCGGAAATGCCTTGGATTGGATCTCATGCGCCCTATACCTGAACATGTTGGATCCCCAGTGAATGATGATGCAAATGGGGGTGAGACTGACACTGATGATGCATGTGTTGTTGAGACAGGCTCAGTGGTTGGAACTGAAAAGTCTGGGACTAAAACAGATGAGGACCTGCCTTTGTATGGAACAAACACATACAATGATGAGTCCAATCCTGTGCAAGCCAGGAACTTATCAGTAGAATTAAATGAATCAAAGGGGACTAATGGGACAGAAGTAGATATTGAAGATGCAAATGGGGTTTCTGATACTTGCGCTATTGATATTGATTCTAAACAGGGTTGTGATGGTAGTGAATTTGTCTTGTGTGGTTTTGACAAAATTGGTTCTGTCAGTGGAGAAGCAGCTATAATTATGCCGGATAGCACAGAGATTGGAAATGATCAAGCTAAAAAATTGGGAGGTGCAGCCGCAGAATTGACATCTGCTCCAAATACAAGTGAACCATGCGAGAGTAATTCTTTTGTTGAGGTTTCTTCTGTCAGACTTGGAAATGAATTGGAGAGGCCTAGAGTGTCTTCACCCCGAAGTATTGATGATAGGGACCATAAACATGAAGATGATTCAGGTGTCATAGTTGATTTGAAAAGCTCTGTGCACGATTTAAGCACTATGGTAAATGCTTCTCTCTCATCTTTCAGCAATTCTTGTTCAGGATTGAGCTTTAGTACTGAAAATAAGCACGTGCCCCTTGGAAAGCCCCATGTCTCCTCATTGTCTATGGATGATCATCATGCAACTTCAAATTCATTGTTGCAAAATACTGTTGCTGCTGAAGCTGATATTCAGTGTGAGAAAACAGCTAGCCAAGATCGACTGTCTTCTACATGTGATATTCAGGTTAGCAACGATGACCATCAGCCCCCTATTGCTGGGAATTCATTAGACCATGTTGATGCCGGAAGCATTCTCCAGGGCTATCCCTTGCAAGTTCCCATTAAGAAGGAAATGAATGGTGATATAAACTGCAGCATTTCAGCGGCAGAATTGCATCTTTTGTCCCAGAAGATTGAACAGCCTGATGATCATACCAAAAGAGTGCAGTCGTCAGAGTCAGATAAAGCATCCAGAAATGGTGATGTGAAACTTTTTGGGAAGATACTAACCAATCCTTCATCCGCACAGAAACCTAATGTGGGTGCTAAAGGGAGTGAAGAAAATGGTAGTACCCATCATCCTAAGTTAAGCAGCAAGCCTTCTAGTATGAAATTTACTGGGCATAATGCTGATGGAAATTTAAAATTTTTGAAGTTTGACTGTAATGATTATGTTGGCCTTGAAAATGTTCCCATGAGGAGTTATGGTTATTGGGATGGGAACAGAATACAGACTGGTCTCTCGTCATTGCCTGATTCTGCTATCTTGCTAGCAAAGTACCCTGCAGCCTTCAGTAATTATGCCACATCTTCTGCCAAATTGGAGCAACCGTCATTGCAGGCATTTTCCAAGAATAATAATGAACGGCTCCTAAATGGTGCGTCCACTTTTACGGCTAGAGACATGAATGGCAGCAATGCCGTGATTGATTATCAGATGTTTAGAAGGGATGGTCCAAAAGTGCAGCCATTTATGGTAGATGTGAAGCACTGCCAGGATGTATTCTCTGAAATGCAGAGAAGAAATGGGTTTGAAGCAATCTCAAGTTTACAGCAGCAGGGCAGGGGAGTAATTGGAGTGAATGGTGTTGGAAGACCAGGGATTCTTGTGGGAGGATCGTGCAGTGGTGTCTCAGATCCTGTGGCAGCAATCAAAATGCATTATTCCAATTCTGACAAATATGGTGGTCAGTCTGGGAGTATTGCAAGAGAAGATGAATCTTGGGGAGGGAAAGGGGACTGAAGCAGGCAGGTAGTGATTGTGTTGAGCGGCAAACATCTCATTTTGCCGCGCTCTGTATTATAGTTTTTGTTATTGCTTAATACAGTGTAGGGCGATTTAATGGTTCTCAAGCCCGTCTTTTTGGTAAAATATTTAGGTGCTTGTAATATCGCAGCAGCTTTGTATTTGTTGTATTTGATGAAAATACAGAAATAATCTCTGAAAAAGTTAGGAGGGGCGATTGCCATTACCATTGCCAATTCTGGATCCCTTGCCGTCATCACTGCTCATTTTGATGATCTTTTTGAGGTTCTAATGCACTGTTGGAGAATTGGTGTGGCCTTTTTTACAGCACAGAGATGGTTTCTTTTAACTCTACCCGTAGTTGCTTTATTTAGGTAGGTATCTTGACTCTGCGGCGATTTTAAGTGTAGAATTAGGGAATTTGGTATCAGTAAGTGTTGATTTACTGTTTATCCAGCTTCCTCCTGCTAAAAGATGGTGACATTTTTTGACAACAAATATTGCTGAGGACAAATTCTGCAATCTATTATTCCTATATAACACAGTCAATCATTTAGATTTGAAATCAAATAAAATGTCAGTCTCCTAAATTTTTAACAAATATGTTGTGCAGTTGGAGAGCATTTTCATTCAGTGTATTTGTAGAGAATTTCGTAAAGAAAATGAGGATTTGTTGAGATATCTAATGTAGTTGTGTTTGATACAACAAGATCAGGCGTTTCTAGTAGAGCTTTGAATAAATGTGAGCAACCAATATAAGCAATGTTGTTCACTTTATTTGTCTCCAATTCTTCTCCATCATCTTTACAGTCAGCAACTTACGAATCTTCAGCAGTCTGCTGCGTGGTAGCAATTTCCTTAGCCTCTTCTGATGTCTGGAGGACAGATGGAAGTGGTGCAATGATTTCAATTAACTGCAAGAACCCATGAATAATTTACAAATCGAAACTAAGGAAGTCTCATTCACCCCGTGATGGATGACGTGCTGAACAAATTTCTCAACTATAAACTATGTTTTTAAGTATACAGATTGCAGAACAGTAAATACCATGGAAAGAGTCCACAGCATAACTGAATGAGTCCACTTGTTCTTCAAATAACATACCAAAATGGAAATGACACAAGTGTAAATTTGACACTTTAATCAATTGATAGTTTCAAAAATTAATTTTTTTCCAATAATCGATTAGACTAAAAAGACTGATGATCCATCATGTGAAAATAAAGACTAAAAAAAAAAATTGTTTGGGGAAATATAATTGTAAGGTAATTAATTTAATTTGAAAACAAAAAGTGATTTTTGACAGAAAATAATATGCATGAAACTAAACAGAAAAAAAACTATTTGAAAAATTATCATAAGCTTCAAATTTTTAGATTCACATAAATTGTTCCAAGTAATAGACAAAAGTTGCAAATAGTTTCTTTATTCCAAAAAACAGTTGAAACAAGGAAAAATAATCTCTAGCAAGCTCTAAAATTAATTTTCAATGTACCTCGTTGGTTAATGGGTGAGAGAGAACCAATTTATGTGCATGCAAGTTGTACCCACAATCTCCAGGAACTGGCTTGGTAGGCCTTGGATAACCCCTACACATGGAACGGCAATGTCAAAAGTTATTGTTTTTCAAAAGATTTGTTTATAACATAGTCAACACCAAAAAGAATTTAACGGGTGAAGGCATAATCCAACCATATGAAATTGGATAATTCAAGCTGAAATTAAGTATCATATTTCCTAAACACGTGTAAATTAAACTATTTCTAGAATCAAATGTCAAACTTATATCTAGCAGAGGTTTGTTTGATCACACAATATAAACGTAGTTATATTTAAGTAGGAAGCAGTTTACATTCTAGAACACTGAACTTACAAACTTACTTAGATTCATTGCAAGTTTCTTCAGTTAAATTTGCAAGTGAGATGCAGGAATGTTAATTGCATAAGACAAAATTGATATTATTTAATACCATAGAACATGGTGTTAAGTGAATGATTGAATTTTTCTTGGAAATCAATAATACAAGAATTTACCCATCTTCAGCAAAACTCTCATCTACAGAGTCACAATCTAAGCATTTAGGTTGCCCACCATCACCAAAAAGGGGATCACCTACAAATCAAACCAAAGGAAAGAGATAATGCAGTCAGACAAGACTCACGAGAAAAATGCGAGTGCCCTCATAATGCCGTATTACGCAGAAGTTGGAACGTGCATGCAAACTAGTTAATATGAGATTCAGAAAGTTCAAGAAAATATGATGTTTTGTTATCCTCTCAATAATGTTTACCCAATTGAAACCTCAACATAATCACTTCATTCTCTATAATAACACTACCAAAATGGTATTGGCTTTGCTAAATTTAATGTTCGAGAGCAAAAGAAATATTTCTACGAAAAAAAAAAGAACTCCATACCAGAGGGGTGGAAATTGAAAGGTTTGTTTTTTCTACTTTAGCCACTGATGAAATTTAAATCTTAATATGCATGAGTTATTATTGATACCTTTCTTATGGAGGTTTTCATCATACATGAAATCTAGCTTTATTTTTTTAATGTGGAGCACACAGAACAATTTGGCATTAAATATTTACCTAACAGAGGATGCCCTATGAAAGAAAGATGAATGCGGATCTGATGTGGCCGTCCAGACTGAATCTTAACCTGAGAAACAAGCCAACCAGGGAATGTTAAGAGTCCGGATTTCTAATTTATAATAGTCTTTCTCTCTCCTTTTTTATTGCCTCTTAGAAAGGGATTCATAACAGGAGGGATACAAGCAAAAACTTTGGGCAGCCAAGAAATTACATGTTGAAATAAAAGCAAATAATATTTGAATGACAATTCCCCGAGTGAATTTGATATTGAATAATATCTAAGATCAGGAGTGCTGCTAATTTTGTTAATTAAACCCATTCTAACGCATAATATTTTTTTGTCTTATTTGAAGAGATTTAGTTTCCTTATTTCTTAGGAATAGTTTTCATTGTTTATGTGTTTCCTAAAATATGTACATGGTACCCTTACATTGTAAAATCATAAAAAAGTAATATTTATCAAAAATAGTATTTTACTTTTCCTATCTGTTGAAGATTGCATATCAACTAGATATGAATAACTTATAATATATATAATTGAAGTGAAATTATCATTTTATAAGATAGTTTTGTAGGATTAAGTTAAGTATCACTCCATTTTTAAGATGGTATGAAAACTTATCTTAACGAGATTTGTCAACCTATCACAACTATTCGTAATATTCAACTCCATGCCCTTGTCATGTTCATTTCTCGATGTGAGAGAATTTGTTGGAGGTTTCACATCAATTATAAATATGATTAACTTTCAAGTGTAAATCTTATCTTACAAACCGAATTTGTGGGATTGAGTAAGACACCTCTCAATTTCTAAGACTACCAATGTTTTTATCAATGCTCAGTATTAAAATGCCGATACTTATGTCAATGTTTTTATTGACAATAATGTCTTTCAAAATGGTTCAGGTTTAACTCAAAACCATCTTGTAAAGTAAGGTGAGGTTTACCCTTACTTATATACTGTATTTTGACATTGTCTGTGGGACTTAGGTTTTTCCCAATAAGTGGAAGTAGATAGTTCATATATTTGAATTTTACCCTATCACAGGTAATGGTCTTGGCTAATAAATAATGTGATCTTGAACATCAAATTCAGCTACCTGGACCAATGTGCTGTTTTCTTGTACGTTTCTGTCTAGAATACCCACTACACTAACTGCTGGTTTTCCTGATTCAATGAAAACAACTAAACATGACTAGATAATCAAGATTTGGAGTGAAGTTTTAGGAAGAAATGGAAACATTACAACCAAAACAGATTAATGGAAATCAATAAGCATGGTTTCCCTTTGGAACTCATCCATGCATAAAAAAACATGAGATTAAAAATAACCTGATTGAGAGGCAACGTATAACCCCTTAGCAACACCAGGATATTTTGCTACTCCAATTGGTTGATTGATAGTCACCTGTAAGGCAAAACAACCTTCAAGTTATACATGCAAAATTGTCACCAACTACACAAACAGCATCAAATTATTCCAAATAAGCACAAACTAGCAACTAAATAGTCCCTTGATCCTGTTATTAAACACAAGGTAGATAGATGGATTAGTGACCATCAATATTGAAGGAACAATAAAGTAAACCATAAGCACTGAAGCAGTTACCATTTTTCTGAACCATTCTGTATAGTTTTACTAAAATGAACAAGGCGATATACAATGGGAAATCATTTATTATAGTTTCTAATAAATATGTAATGTGGATAAAAAGATCATGAGAATGCTAAAAAGATGGCATACCTTTGTCTAGCACATCAGGGTTCTATAATAGAAAAAACTTATTAAAATTATGGAGAAATTGAAATAGTTGGTTTTAGACATCTCTCATTTTTTCAAACTTTCAGTCTTATCCTTCAAATTTAACACTCAAAAAAATTCAGCCTCCATGAAACTTCACCAAGAGTTAATATAGCTTTTAATGTAAGCTTCTGCAGCATGCTGACTCAACTTGTTGCGTATACATCTGCTAGGTAGCTAGAACGTTAATTTCAGTTAGCTGTCAACGGCCAAATTATAAATATATCACACATCTCTGTTGTTGCTAAGTTCATTCACTTACCCTTCTAATTGCAGAACTCTATAGCTTCAGTTTCTCTCTAACATTTTTTTACTTTATCACATACCATTGATTTTTGTCAAAATGCCTAAATAACTTGTTTACAGTTCAGCTCCTTCAGTTTTTTTTTTCAAAAAGCATATATGATTGTAAAATATCTCCTGAATGAATTAAATTAAATATTACTGAGAGAGTTCTTGCAGCTGTGTTTCTAACATTCATTATGAATAGGAAGACTGAAATATCCACGCTTTCTTAATCTTGTACACCATTTCTCTTCATTCTACTTTTACGATGGGGTAGTGGGGTGGATGCAGCCTTAAAGCACTTATTTATATACAAGGGGGAATCATGTCACTTGTGAACAATGCCTATAAAGAGGAGGGAAAAACTGTCACCATCACCTCATCATTCTCCACTATCCCACTCGCAAGTCCACGGTATATCTTTGCGATCTTCCCAAGTTCCCTGTTTGTATCTCTGCTTCCATAACAACAGTATACACAATAGACAACGAGTTTAAAAAGGTAACTTAATATAAAGTGTTTAACGCCAACTTAAAATTTTAACCATTTTTCTCTGTTCTTTAAGTGTCTTCGACTTCAGATAAGTACAGGGTAGAAGGTAAAACATTTGACAAGTCAATTATAATATAATGCAACAAACCAAAAAGATAGTCCTTCCGTAACCTTTCTCCTCCAATGTGAGAAGTTCCATCAGCAAAATAAAATGCAAGACGGGCTCTGGCTAATTTTGTCTTTGCACATAACAAAATTCCTATGATGCAATCAATCAATCAATCAATCAATCATAAAAGCATTTGAAAGTATCATGAGCTAATTCTTCGTAACATTAGAAGGGTATTAAAAGCAAAGAATCTAGTCATACTTGTATAACATATCTGGTAGTAATAATTATAAAAATACCACCACCACTTGTAGTTAAACAATCAACTGAGAAAACGGTAATTATTGAACTTTTTAATAACTGACAACTATGATTTATGTTATATTATATTAAAATAAAACCAGTTTCCTCGAGAGTTCTAAACTAGTTTCATGAATATAATTAAATTTTAAACTATGCAACAGATTAAAGATAAAATCCATCAATTTCACTTTAAACAGCAATATTCAGTATAACCTGAAGTTCCCCTTCCTAGGCGATGTACTGGGACAGGATGAGGCTTTTTGTACAAGTTGGCTTCCCATTGAAGCTGTGTCAAAACTGTCCTTTGCTGGAAGAGACCTCCAGGCAGAACTTGCAAGCCAGAAGGTTTATTTAGAGCAATCTGAATTCACATCAGCACCCAAATCAAAAGATTTATATTAAGACATTCGCCTAGTACTTGAATAATATGTTTTAGTAGGGATAACAAGAAACTCTTCAGTCTACATATCTTCATCTAAAGATCCTCACAACTCATTTTAAACGCTCAATGGGAGCAATCAGCCAGAAAACTATATTAATTTACTAGGGAGACAGCATTCCATCTTATGTTTCCATCCTCATGAACCAAACAAATTTGAATTTTATTAACCTTACATAAATATAATGTCAATTGAACTTTGTTTGTAATTTGCATTCTAAAGCACTGCTAGCAAGGAAATTAATTTTGTATGTTTAATTTGAATATTTAATATAATTAATCAGACAAAACAATCATACAAAATTTAGCATAAAGTTACACTAACCATGTCATCATCTTCATACAATACTTCAATTATATGTGGTGCATCTGGTTCCTTCCATGGAAGTCTATGATAGACTAGCTTTGAGCCAACTCTAATATGAAGAAGATAAGAAACATCATATAATGAAACAAAACACGCATTACAAAGGATCTTAAATTTCTATCAAAGAACCTGAGGACTGTGTTGGAATCAGTAACAACTCTTCCATCATATGTTATCTGTAGATCACAATAATTAATATGACAAACAGCCGAGATGGAGCATTCCATGTAGTCAACTATTTCAGATTCGTTGATTGATGATCAAACCTGCCCACTTTTTATACGCTGCAACCAACTGTTAAAAAATCAGTACTTACGATTCCCTAGAATAATTATGTTACTAAATAGAAAAAAAAAAAGAAAAAAAAAAAGGAGGATAAACAATTTTCCTAGAAACGCAAAATTCTTTCGAAAAGATAAATGCATAAAAATAGCTCCGCAGTACCTCAGCAAATCCGAAAATCAACACCATTAAAAAGGCCATGAGGATGCATCCAAATAAAGGCAAGAAAGACAACTATTTCATCCCCCCAAAAATGCAGTGGAAGATGCTACTGACTAAGAATTCATAACACCAGTTCAATGGTCTCATAGTTGGCAACAAAACTTTGTATTCCTATCGTATTAATTATCAGCTTAATGTACTTCATTCTCCCTCAGCTCTTAACAACAATTCAAAATTTCAGTAACAACATAAGGCCAGGTCATGTGCGTTTCTCATCAATGTCAATATTTTCTTAAATTCTCAAAAAAGAATCTCAAATTAAATTAAAAAAAAAAATCCATAGCACGTAAGAGGAGAAAAGTTTCAAAATTTATGACTAAAAGGTAAGTGAGCAATTGAAAAGTTAACTTACCCTTGTAAGGGAGCAGAACTTTTGTACTTGGCAGAGTAAAACTCTATCAGAGTCAACCCTGAAAATCGATTCAATATAAAATAGAATTGAGTTGCAATATGATAAGAAAAGAAAAATGAAAGGGGAAAGAGGTAGAAGCATGGAGATTGAGTAGTGAACCGGCATCAGAGGATCGAACGACGTCGTCGTATGAGAGACCGTCGTTGCATTCAGGCCAAGGAATTCCAAATTTCTTACAACAAGCCATTGAAAATCAAAACTTACATTGCAGGCCTCAATTCCACAACCAAAAGGCATTCATTTTCTTCTTTTATAGACACATCCATTTATCGATCAATTCATGTAACCTTTATTAAGTTTTCGTCCCTCAAAGTACGGATTTCTCGGTTTTAGTCCTTCATTTTATTTTAGTCCTGCTCCATATTTTTCTTTTAAATTGTTTTTCAGTTACTCAGACCATTAAAATTAATATTAGTGATAATAATATCGTATCGTTAAAGTTAATCACAACAAAATAAAAAATAAAAAATGGTTATATAAACAATGTTAATATCACTTAAATGTCACATATACATATGACACCATCAGAAACTAAAATAACAAAAATAAAAAATAATATTATAAATAATTTATAACATCATCACTTAAATAAATTATTTTTTATATTCAGACCCTATAAATAATTATATATATATTTTTTGTTTCTAAATGACACTTTTTTATTTTAGTATTTGATTTTTTTTATTTGAATTCCTAATATATTAATAGATTTGATAATTTTATTATCGTGATACATGATGATGTTATCAACATTGAATTTAATTATAACCACATGGACGATTTTTATTTTTATTTTTTTCGAAAACTAAAGAAAACAAAATATAGAACACCATTAATTATTTATTTATTTATTTATTTTTAAGGGTAATACCATATTCGTTAAATTCAAGAGCTTTGCAAATAATGTGACCTGATTAAATAAATAACGACATTACGTTAATAAAAAAGTTTAAAATTTATAAGTTTAGTTTTTTATCTATTGAAGTTAGTTTAAGCATTTAGTGAAATTAGTTATTAAAATAGTTGAAAAAAATAAAATGACAAAAATAATGATATATTTTTTATTTTATTTTCTAGACAAAAATAGCCTTAGATAATGGTAATTTCAACATTTTATTATATTTAATCCTTATTAAAAAAATGAAAGTTTATATCATTTTTATTAAATATTTATTTATTTAATTAAAATTATTATTAAAAGGTAAAAGAATAAATCCATATATTTTTAGAATTGATTATTTTAAGGAAAATTAAGAGACTAATAATACCTTTATATTTATTTTCAAGTGTATAGAAGAACTTATGAGATGAGTTTAAACTTATCAATTCACTTCAAAAAAAAGAAAAAACACCAATCTAATCCTACTTTGGTTGGTTTGTAAATTCAGTAATCCATGGGGGCTTCGAAATGTAGATACAGGGGCTAAATATTTATTTATATTTAATTGTGTAGGTTCAACTTTCTCTTATATGGGTTGTATATGATATTTCATCTATTAGGTAATAGTATGCACAGTGGAAATGGTAATGTATTTTATAAGAATTTTCTTTCAATACAAAGGTATTCTTAATCTTATGAGATTTTATTTTATTTCAAGTGATTTTTTAGAAGCTCTATTTAAACAGTGAAGTTTTATAAAATTCATACTTAAATTTAATATTTTGAGTAAGATTCATTGAAATGCGCTCCTAGTGAAGTAATTGTATACATAAACTTTGATTTAATTATGAATATCATTAAATTAATGTTATGTTCGGTTACATGAAAAATGAAAAAAAATAATAATAAAAAATAGAATGAAAATTATGCTCATTTGTTTCATAAAAATAAATAAATTCAAATTAAATAATTACAAATTATATATTATTTTGGAGAGACGAGTTATAGTTGTTTTTAAAAAATACTTTTTTTTATTTTTTTTATTTTTTTATATATGAATAAAATAAATAAAATGTACGAAGATCATTGAAAATAATACTTTTATTTCTCATTTTCTTTATTATTAAACAAATAATTTTTTTTTGTATTAACTATTTTCTATTATAACTAAAATAGGGAATTGTGAGAGATGAAAGAAATAAAGAGAAGTGCAAACTTCGGATAATAAGTCATATTGGAGTTTTCATATATGTTCTCTTTCTCCTTTTTTCTTTCTTGGTCGAAAATATTTTCAATTTTTTCTTTTATCAAAATGAGTGATTAATTATGTTTCTAAGCCTTTTCACTATTGATTATCATAAAAAGAATAGAATAAAATGTATTAGTAGCATTAAATGTTACAATTATAAATAAAAAATCTATTTTAATTCCGTAATTACTACCTTAAAGACATTAGATAACAAAAACGGATTAATTATACAAGATTGCATATTGAGTTCGTACTTTAAATATCCAAGAAAAGTTTTAATTAGTCTTATTCTTTGAATAATTAAAATTTATATGCCCTGCTAACAAACTCAGTTGAAAAAACTACTGTTTTTTTGTTGAAATGAAAAAACTATTGTTAATGACTCATAGACTCAAATGCCTGCACTTTTAATATTATATATACCAAACTATTAAATATTATCTTCATGAAAAATAAATACACATTACCCTTACAAATAATCAACCATAATGAATGTAATTAAATTATTCTGGCAGTGTATAAATGTCACATGAGATATGCATGCATATTCACTAACTATCATTTAAGAGACAAACAAACATTGCAAAAGTTCCCTGTTCACAGCCCATGTAAAGCAGAAGAATTGTGTTGGCCTCTCTACAGACAGTCAACATAAAACTGGTTCATACACAGAATATGAATAACGTAAAACAGATTTTATTGTCTTTATGTTCGAGCATTCTTGAGGAAAATGCAAATGAGAAAACATCAATACTTTTATTATTGCCAACTGAGGCATTCAGAGTGAAATGGAAGCACCGAATATGTTGTAACAAATTACACACTCAGAGAAGAGATACAAATTACACACATAACAAATAAATCATCAGCAGAATACATCAGTTGATGAAGTTGCTGCCAGCTGCAGAGAAACTCCATTCCAGTCTACAGCATCACCGCAGTGTTTGTCTTTTGTTTTGGACACTGGTAACTGGAGAGAACCAACATCAGAGGTTTCTGGTATAGACTCCTTGGAAGCAGCAACTGCCTTCAGCCTGTACCTCTCAGCCCTGGAACCAATTACTTGACCTAACACTGATGCGGCAATAGTAAATGCCATAGCTGATTTAGGCATCAAGACAGATTTCCTTAGCATTGCTATGAATGGAACAGCTGCATGGACTGCAGCAAACCATGCTGGTGAAAATTTCTTGGTATGTTCTCTCCATATACCCAAGGGAACATTAGCCGCCATGCCCAGCATCCCAATCACAAGAACCTTTGTAGGCAGGGACTGAGGGCGGAGGTTCTTAGCAAATGCAGTGCGTGCTATAGCCGCCCGCGCTGCGACTACTGCTGGTGGGCACTTGTATTTCATGCCTGGAGGAGGCTGAATAACCTTTGCAACAAGTGGAAGGACGTTACTAACTGCACGATATGACTTTGCAATTGGGCAGTTCCCATTTTGCAACCAATCATTGCCTGCCTCATGCTTTGAACCATCCTGAACACCAGTTAAATGCACATCAGAGAACTGAAAAACTAATCTAATTCATGACTCAAATTTGTACTACTTTAAATATTTCGAAACAAATATCCCAGTTATTCTCTTCAACTACAGCATTTCGTAACCCTTCCAACCTGCAAAACGCTCACTAAAAAAAATTCTTTTGGAAATTGTCTTGCTAGTGACTACGAAAGCAGATTGAATATGATGTATACCTGTGAAGATGGTTCGTTCTTTGATGATCTGGATTTTCTTTTCTGGTTGTTCCACTTTTCAGAAAATGAATCAAAACTGAAAGGCCCACCAAATCCAAATGATGACAAACTAATAGTTGCTGCCTTTGCAGCTAAAGGATTGAATTGGGATTTGGGAGGCTCTGCCTGTACTTTCTTCTCTGAATGCCGAAAAGATCTGTCAGATAAGGGTACTACACCGTCACTTCCGTGGAAAAGCCTAAATGCCAAATCAAAATTCGGGCCATCTTCAAAAATTGGACCTTTAGCTCCACGAACCTGAGTAAGAGGCAGACTTTTTGTAAGTATGCTGGTTTCTATCAAGAATAATACCAGAACAAGTAAATGGTGTGGTTGAAAGATTAAGTCCTAGCATTCAATATTACATATAATATTATAATTTATAAGGAACAGAAACACGACTAAGAAAAACACATAAGAAAGCCACATCTTTTGGTCTGATTCAGTAGATAGATCTAAGAAGCAAGATATGACAGGAATCTTAAAGCATTCCCAATAAACAAGGTCAGCCCTTCTCAATGGATCTGAGAAGTAAAAGCAGGATATGATAGGCATCATTCTCAATAAAACATGTTAGGGAACAGAAAAACTACACATGCATGATAAAGTAAAAGACATGATGAGAATTATGTCAACTATGGAGGAAAACTTACAGGCATTGGTAAAGCCAAAGGTGTAGAGAATGAGAAGTTAGTAGGCTCATTGATGTTCCTCAAGAATGGACATCTAAGCATAGAGTCCTCATTTATATCCCTAGTAAAGAAGTCCATTCTTCTGCTTCAAATCTAGCCCTGCAAAAGGAGGGAAGAAAGACATAAGAATACTTCGTGGATTTATGAGTAAGAGGCACAAACTGAGGAGGATTCAGTGAGTTCGATTCTAAGAATTCTGACATAAAAATTAAATTAACCCGGGAGATAATACTAGGTTAAAACCTTCAAAATCAAACTACATTTCTGAAATTTGTCTACCAAAGAAAACCAATGATATGCACACACACGCGCTCAAAGTTCACATCACGATTGAAAACCTAATAAACACTAAATCTATATGATATCATGCAGCAACAACAAATGATTTCAATCTTCTTCTTTTCATGATTTATGCAGTCCAGGTAAGGAGAAAATAACTCCAAACTTGTCAAGGCTTGATTGAACCTTGAATAAGATAAAGAGCTACATCCGGATTATCCCTCGCCCTCCTTCCCCGGCCTTTTGGTAATTGAATCAGGTAAAACAAGTTACATTAAATATCAATAACTACATATTTAAGCAAGTTCAGCATTCCCACTTGCCAGTGCATCAGATTTATCTGATATCTCTAGCATACCCAAAAGTCAACTCAAGGAAAATCCCAACAAAGTTATCGGATTCAACCTCCTTACCACAACCCATCTTAAAAATTTGTTCAAACAAACCAAAAATTGAACATGATAACTCCAACCCATCTAAAAAAGTTGCCTAATTATTCGAAAAAGTTGAAAAAGAAAAAGAAAATCGAAACTTTCCAACAACCTTGCCAAAAAAACAATAGAAAGAGGGGAAAAAAGTAGGGTACAAATCACCCAAATCAAAGATGAAAATTTTGATAAAAATTTCCTCACCGCAGAAACAGAGAACGAATGAGCAGCAGCAACACAAAATAACAACAACAAAAAATATATAAAAAGGGCAAAAAAAAGTCTAAAGCATTAATAGTGGGAATAATACCTTTGGGGGATTGCAAGAGGCACACGCCAATTCTAGAATGAAGCAAAGGAAGAAAAGAATGGAAAGATGGTGTTAGGTGAAAGAGATTGAAAATGTTAATGCCAATAGTGCACACGGAAAAAGAAGAACGAGTTTTATTTCTCTCTCTTCTTCTCTCTCAAAATTATCAGTGCAATTGTTTTGGCAGAATAATAATAAAATTAAAAGAAGAAATTGAGTCAATAATGGCTGTGGTGTGCACACGCCTGAGTAGATACAACCAAAGTTGAATTTTATGTATGTCTCACGTTTCTTCAGTTAGAAATTTCATATAATTATTCCAATTTATTTCAATTAGGTAAAAGATACAGTCTTCTCTTTTTTGAGATATTAGTTTTATCAATTGAAGAATCTATATCTTTTTAATGAATATTGTTTTCATATTCAGATCTGATAATTTAATTTAGGTATATTATAAGTTTAAGATGTTTGTATATATACATTAATATATATATATATATATATATATTAAAAATAAATTATTATACCAGTTTGTCTATCATAAAATAATTTTATATAAATTATTATTATCTAATAACTTAACTTGATTATTTATAATTATATATAAAGAATATGTTTTTATAATTTTTTAGTATTATTCAAATAAAAATTCGTTATTACAAATAATATATTTAAAAATATTAAAAATGAGAAAAAAAATATGTTTTAAAAAAAAGTAATTTAAAATAACATTTTTTTAAAAATAATTAAAAAAATATGAACACGATGCTTTAATACCTGTATGTCTACTGATTATTAAAAAAATCATATTTTTCATATTTTTAAAGCGCTTAGTAATTAAAATTAGATAAATATTTCAAATGTTAACAAAAAATTGAGAGACTATCTTTCAAAATAAAATATAGCACTATTTAAAAATATAATGTTATATACAAAATTAAAATTCATAACTAAAGAGAGAGATTTTCACTATTTTCACCTTAGCTAGTATTTTTAACATATTTATTCTTTTCTTTTTTAAATGTATATTCCATATATTTTTTGTAACTCATTTTTTACTCAATACTCATATTACTAACTAAAAAAAGAAAAACTCTAAACTATTTCAAGCTACCTTTCTTATTTGCCATCTTTTCAAAGACTCATTCTTTTTAATGTACCATGTCTTATTTCTGTATCTAAATTAAATTAGAGTATTTTTTAAAATATATCAACAATAATATCACCATTTATATATTATTTATTATCTGTGGTAACTTTGTTTGAGATAACATTTACTGCAAGTATTTAATAATTACATACAAAACTGGGCCTTATCATTCAATGCATTGACCAGATAATAAAATTGAAGAAGTTATGTCTTATTAATTGTTTTTTTGGTTTGTGAATCCCTGCATGAAGAAGGGTGGGTGAGGTTTGAACTTCTAGGAGTTGGACTTGGTATTGTGGTTTTGGTACACACGCTTCTTTGATTTCATCAAAATAATGCTCTTAAGTATTGCCACGTCGCTTACATTTTTTAATTTTTTCTACTTTCATTTATTTAGTTGGTCACTTACATTTTTTTTTTTCTATTTTTATTTATCTATTTGTACCATGATCCACCAAAAGGTAATTTAATTTAACTATACTGATATTTGAGATTTTTTTTTACTTATACATTTTGAGTCCATGCAATTGATTGATTATGATTTAAATATGGAATTGTTGGTTTACTGAAATAATTAAATTTTCATGTATGCAACTTTCACTTGTATAATTTAAAATTCATTTATATTATATTTGGATGAAGAATTTTAAAATGTCAAATAACTAAAAATGTTGCAATTTTAGTGTTTTTTTGATATTTTATTTAAATGAAACAAATTTGAATTACTTGATTTTAATTTCTTAATTTAGATGGAACAATTTAATTTATATTATATACCAATTTGTTCAAAATATATTTTGAAAAATGAATTTTTAATATTAAACCTTTAGAAAAATAAATATTGTTCTATTCAAGGTTATCAAACTCTCGATTAAAAATGATTAAAAATCTATTGTTAATATTTAATGATTAAAAATGTATTTAAATAATATTTAACAATTAAAAAGTATAAAAATTCTAACAGCTTACATTACTATTAATATGGAGATAATAAAGAAAAAAGAAATAAAAAAAAGAGAAACGAAAGATGAAGAAAATAAAGAAAGTCAGAAAAAGGTTGAAAAGGAAAATAAATAGAAAGAAATTACGTACAGAATAAATAAATAAAAAAACACATTATTCCTTTTTACATTCAAAATTTCAAATCTTTAAGTATTTTTTTTTCATAAATGTCTAAAATCTCAACTTCCATCATTTTTTATCCTAATATGATGTTTCATCACAAATCATGTTAATATTTTTAAATAAATAATTATTATCTTAAAATTCTTCATTCATATACAACTTTACTTTAGTCGAAATTATAAACTTTACATAAAATCAGAAGTTTCTTGAATTTGATATCCTATTATATTTGCATTTTACTTAAAAAATAACTTATTCTGACAAAGTTTTCCACCAGAACAAACCACCTAACTGTTAAAAAAATAAAAATAACCACACATAGTATTTATAACTAAATAAAAAAAAAGTTTGAATAAAACGCACAATCACAATTATTATAATTGAGTATAAAGTAAAGGTGGCGTATGGTAGGAACGGACTAACACAAGTTAAAAAAAGTAACAGCTGGATCCAACCACTCAAAATCACAACTTAACCTTTTTTTATTTGCAAAATAATGTTAGCGTGATAAACGTACTTCAAAATATATATATATATATATATATATATATATATATATATATATATATATATATATTGAAATTCATTTATTTAAAAATAAAATTTTAAAAATTACTATTGATTTTTATTATATTTTTTAATATAATGATTAATATAAATTATTGTTTTAAATATTAGATCGGTTAAAAATAAATGATAAAAAAAATATAATTCTTAATAAATGAATACATATATATAAGTAAAATAATTTACATAATTTCTCTTTATCAAGTTTCAAAATCTTAATAAATACATTTTCATATATATTGTTAAAATCATGTTGAGTTAAGAAAGCTTTTACTATTTATATCATAACATATTTTTGTATACTTATGCATACTGTATTTTTTAACATTTATTAACAATGTTATTTAATAAAATTATATAAAGCAATTAGAAAAAATTGAATTGATAATAAAGCTTGAAATTTATTTTTATAATAATTATTATCTTAGTTATATTATTTTATTTCATGCATTATATTATCATATAAAATCTATATATCATAAGCTATTTTATTTTATAGTTATATAAGTTACGTTATGTTATTATTATTATTATTATTATTATTATTATTATTATTATTGATTACATTATAATCAAATCTATGTAACACAGATACCAAGGGTTAAATGCAAAAAGAAGAAATTTAGGATTACAAGCATGATGATCCCTTAATAAAAAAGTAAATAATGATATGGCAATATGAGACTTGTTCAGTAAAATACTATGAATGGAACACCCACCAATGTTAGAATGGGTTGAGTAGGCCCAGTGATATGGAGCTATATATAGTATGCAAGAGGTCTTGGTTTCTAGGTTGGATCCTTGTTGCTTGTCATTGTGCAAAAAAATAAACCCAACAATTTAAGGGTGCATCTCAGTTCCTTCCTACTATATTTCAATCAAAGTAAATGTGGAAAAACAAATCCCTGAATAAGCTTCACAATCACATGTCAAGAATTGCTACTTCTTGCTTCACAGGTGCAGCGGGGTGGCAAGGTGTTAATGTCAGGCCAGGTTGAGATCAAAGCTTAACATTATCACAGTACTTATGACGATCCAGATAGGTCCGACACCTTGTTGGAGTGCATGGTAGATATAATCTTTAAGCTAGGAAGCACAAATTCATGCTATGAGATAGGAACATGATACACGCCATGGATACAGGAATATGACACTTTAAAAATTATAGCAGTCAACAGCTAGAGTATAATAATTGAAATTAATATAAAGTTTATATAAAATAAAATAAAATAAATTAAACCACAAGAAAAACATTTTTTTAAATAAGCACAAGCCATTATAAACATGATTGAATACAAGAAAAAAAATTAATTACTATGGTACTTTAATTAGTATTAATATAAAGTTTTCAAAAATAAAAGTATAAAAAATATAAAATTACAATTACAAGCATTGGAGTGTCTATTAGTGTCGTTTGCATAAGAAAGACGAAGGGTGTGCCATGAGTTATCAAGTAGCAGACATTTTCAAATTATCTGTAGCTGAACAATGTTCACAATTTCAATTCAATGGACCACACCAGATGATTTTGCTTTGATACCCAAGTAAAACTAAAAAATAACCAACCTGATCATTTCTATTGATTTTTCTTAGAACTGGATGCTGAAAAGGATGATCTCGGTTTTTTTGTTTTGTTGGCATCTGCATTGGAACTTCTAATAATGAAAAGGAAAGTTTCAACAAACATGGCACCAACCAACCCCAGAATTCCTCCAGCAGCATTCTGGAAATGGAGATGAGAGCTCAAAACTAAAACAATTAATTGAGGATAAATGAATAATGAAAAACAGACTTTAAACTGTACCATGGCAGGACTGTGATTAAACAAGGCTCTAAATGCTGCATATCCAAGAAGATAGCCAGTAAACATGGTAACCACAACATGCAAACCTGGAAAAGTTAAGGAAAAAAAATGAAATAGAGCTACTTCAAAGCACAAATATTATATAAACATATGACTTAAGAAATACTAAATATGGCAAATCACATCCCTAGAAATCAGAGGAGGAAAAAAAACTAAAGATTTCTGCCATCTAAATTTTTTTTCTATTTCTTTCTGAGAGAGAATATAAGGGCTAATTTTCAAGTAACATCACTACTCCCAACAATCATCAAAGAAAGTCTTCCCACTTAAGAAAATTGCAAGAGTTACATTACTTACAGACCACAAGCAGTTAAATCAGTACATGAAGGATTATAAGTTATCTTGGGAAAGTTACAAATATAAAAAAAATGAACTAACAAAAACATATTTGTAGTTGCTAATCTAAATGATATTCAAAAGTTTGACTATTGTTTAAGATATTTCATCGACTAGATATATAATTAAATTATAGTATACAGATGAATGTTAACCTCACCTTATAAGTTGATTTTTTAGACCAAAACTCACTTTCTAAGATGATATTAAAACCAATCCTAGTCAAGTTTGTTAGGCCTATATTGTGTCACCCTTTCGTCTAAACCAACTTTTTAATATGGTATCAAAGTCCTTATTAATGAGGTTATCTTGAGCCTATTATGTTACCTACAATCGGATCACTATTGGACCACCAACAAATATCGAATCTTATACTCTGGAAATGTCCAGTCCTTGACATAAGGGGGTCTATTAAAATATGACCAAATTATAATATATAAGTGGGTGCAAATCTCACCTTACATATTGGTTTTGTTAGTTGAGTTAGACTCAAATCCACTTTCTAATAACTATAATCTTATATCTCCACTTTGAGTTTTCAACCATAAAAAATCTAGGTTTTTAACATTTGTTATCTAATCATAAAGATTATCTTGTGTGATACAAACTTTCACTTTTGTAATAACCACATAAAAAGTCATAACCTGAGTAATTTCTAATTGGATGACAATACAAATTTCTTTATACTGACAAAACATTGAAATTAAACTCAAATATGAACATCTTGTGTCCGTGTATTAATAAGGGCTGTAGTCTGTAATCTGTTATTGGCCGCAGATAACTAAGGTAATCATTAATCCATCATTACCATCAATAGCCTAGCCCAAACAGAAATCAAGTCCTTTGAAAACAAAAAGAGGGCAGAGAAGATCTAAGTACCTATGCCGGAAGAATATTTCTTCACATGTAGTTAACATTTGAAAAGAAAAGGTCAATGGCAAAATCTATGCATGAAATGTCATATATTCAATGCATAACAAAAGATAAAGTCAATGCAATGTAATATCTCCTTTCCACTTCCCTACGTGTTTTTCCTTTACTACTTTCATACAAACATTATGTTTTACACTGTCAAGTTAAATTGAGAAACATAAAAATGTGAACACGTTGCCATGAATATACATAAAACAAGCAATAAAACACATCAGTAGACTGCATTAAAGTGACATTTTTGCAGCAGTACTAATAACTTTTGAATCCTTAATGGAAAAAACTAAGTACAAGTGAAAATTAAACAACTTCACAAGCCAAACTGCATTATAATGTTTGAGATACTTGGGTCAGCAACAAAATCTGGTGTACTGTGAAATGAAATTCTAAAGCAAAAAATCCTACCCAATCCAGTAGAGGGTTTCAAACTAAATGAGCAAATTAAGCATCAAAGCTTCAACAAGTAACTACTACTAGTTTAATTTTGATTTGATGCATTTTCAAGCAAAGTTTTTTTACATTGCCAACAGAGTAGAAACCACTCTAGATATAACTTGTAAATTAGCTACGATAAAAATCAATATCTTAACATAATGAGCGATTAGTGCATTGTAACTAAAATTCATTTTATACATGTATTGAAATGGTAAACTAGAGTTCGGAATAGTTGTAGGAGACTGAATTGGAGAAGAATTTACCAAACCCTAATTGATCCTTGTAAGAAGAGAATGGTTCCGTAACATCCTTAGGCGGTGCAATATCCTTCACAAGCTCTTGATACGCTTTCCGCTCCGCTATATCTTCCAGCTTTTTCAGCCTCGCTTTCAATTCTTCACTCTTCACACCAATAACAGTAGTAAACATAAAATTGAATCGATCAACAAATTTTTGGAGCCGCAGAAACAAGAGGTAATTATAATTGAAAGGAATTGAGAAATTGAAACGGAGAGTATGGATTGCAAACTAACCTTCTCTCTGGGCTTAGGGCTGGTGAAGACGAGACGAGTGCCGGAAAAGAGTCGAGTCAAGTTGGGTCTAGTGGATGGATCAGAGGCCATCCACACGGCGCGAAGTGATGCGTAGGGCACCTCCGATTGGAGGAGCAATTCGGAGGACGTTTGTCGAAGTTCATCGGAAAGAGTCGCGTCTTTCGACGCTCCGGAGAGGAAAACCCGAATGGAGTCTGTGGTGGATATAACCAACCCGACCCTGTTAGAGTTGTCGGTACCCATTGCTGGTTTCTCCGATACTAGTATCTGATGGTGGGTTTACAAATAACGTATCCATTCATAAGTTTTTATTTAATTATAAATTATCAAAGAATAAATTAATTGATATTGGCTATATTTACTTTAAAATCCTATCATGTTTATTAACATTTTATGTTAAATATGTCTTTGATATTTTATTTTTAAACTAATTAATTTAGTCCTTTAAATAGGCATTCTTAGTTTATTTTTATATTTTTAATATACATGAATTTCATTATTTTATATATTTATATTTAATATTTAAATAATATTTTTTATTATAGTAAACCTATAAAAAACCTAATTGCATATATTTTTAAATAATTTAAAGACTAACTAAATATAATATAATATAGATATTTTAACTTAATATTACCTCATTGAAATTTCGTTTAACTGCGTTTCAATTTTATATATTTTTTTAGTCACATTTATAATATTGATAGTAAGAGTCCAATATTTAATATTTAATACTGATACAAATCAAAGGATCTTATAGACCGTTAATCCCTAAATATACATATTCGAAGCCATTTTCTCCAAAGATGAACAAGTTTAAGTTTGATTTTCCACTCATAAAATTTAGAGGTTGTACATCTCCAATTATTAATATTATATCAAACAAATGTCCATTTTCTACCCTATTTACGTCAACATGGAAGTTAATACTCCCAAAAGTGAGACTTTTGAGTTTAATATTATGTCACACACAAAATCAATTAATATAAGAACCACATAATTGTTAATCTTAATTTCATTCAGATCTTATCATCTATGCAAAATACATGTCTATGCCATATTTAATTAGATTAAACCCTAAAATTACATTAAAATTAATCTACTGGTAGAAAGTTTTGATAGTATACACGGGTTCTAAAACTCGACCATCAACATCATCATCCAACTTCCTTGCCTTATGTTATGCATTAAGTGAAAGATATAGAGATAGTTTACAAGTTGTCATGCATTGCTAGCAGTATAGATGACAGAACCCTTGTTTGATATTAACAGTTCATATGTTTTGTGGAGTTTTTAATGCCTCTTTGCTTATTGGTAGGGGCTCCATGTGTTTAGTATTGTTAGTGAATCATTGCTGAAGAGTTGTGTTGATTTTGAGCATGTTATTAATTTAATTGTTTGTTAAATACAAAAGCTATGAAATTTTAAAATTATACACGTTAGTTTATAATATTTAAACAATTTTAGAATTTCAGTAATTTGGCTTTTCATATAAGTTATTTAAAAAATACTATCGATCTATTAAACACTAAATATTATTTTACAATTTCTTATCATCACCCGTGAACTAGAATTCTCTGTAATAGTTATCCTTCTTTGTTGGTACGAAACTAAAAAAAAGCATAATGACGATCAGAAGATCCTAAAAAAATGAAAAAACATAATATATTTCAGGGTTCATCAAAAGCAAGAAATGGAAAGGGAGAATAAATAGTATGGAAATATTGAGGACATGACATGAGCAAGAGTAAATATCTACTTGAAAGACTCAGAAGACCTATGACAAGAGCTAGAATAAGGAAAACAAAGGAAACTCTTCAATAAGTGTTGTCTATATTAGTTGAATACAAACCCACATTTCAAGGAAAAAATACCAAAGTTGTGAATTGTATCATGGTCCAAATGAAGGAGGACTAATGCGTCACTTTATTTTTAGTCTTCAAGTTTGTTTAAATAATGACACAATCATTTATAAAATTGATTGACCAAATTATGTTTTGGGTTAATCAATTAATGGACTTTAGTTTAGTTTTGTTTCAAGCTAAAATAAGGGTTCAATTGGAAACTTAAACATCAACCTTTGAGAGACCAACATGATGTATAACTGACTGACTTTTGGTTGCCATAATTTCTGTTATAATCAGTTATTAAGTAGTTTTCAATTCCTAGGTCAATAGATCATTATTAACATTTATTTGCCTCCATTAATTAGTTTCCAATTCATAGATTAATGGATCATTATTAATATTTATTTTCCTTTATTGAATCTTTGTAACTCTGATAGCAAAACTTCTATATAAGTTGAATCATTTTTATCAAAAATACAACTTGAATTTTATTTAGAAATATTAGAGTTTAACTCTTTTATCTTAATGAGAGTGATTCTCTTAAGTTTTTTAGTGATTTAAAAACCCTTGATTGTATCAAAGGACTTTCACATCCTTTGTGAGTTGTCTCCCTTGGGAAGAGTGATTCTTTACTTCGGCCTTTCACATTCACCTCTTGTCATTTTTCACCAGAACCTAGAAAATTCAATTCTATCTAGATTTATTTCGTGGTTATAACTTTCGTTCTACTCGTCCAAATTGAGTGTCTTTTGAACATAAATTGAAATTTAGAACGAGAACTTTCACTTCGTTTTTGAATCACCTAAATTGGAGTTTTATCAACGTTTCTAAAATTCTATTCAACCTTGAAACTTTCACCACTTTCTAATTCACCTTCTCACTAATTTCCTAAATTTCATACAAAGTTCTAATCCTAAATATCCTAAGTCAGCCATTGTGTAAATGAGGTTCATATCATTTGGTATTCAGAGCTCCAGTTTAAGGGTTTGAATGTCAAATTGGTAGCATCTTTCCTTCATTCTCTTGTTACTAAGTGATTACCTTATTTTATTCATATTATTTGTGATTGTGCTGAATCATTGAAAAAAAAAAAATTAGGCCCTTGTGAAAATAAAATAAAAAAATAAAAAATAAAGTTACAACATTTTATAATTTGGTTGAAAGTGATAAAAAAAATTGGGTCGAATGATTCATGTTTTTGAACAATTTGTTATAAGGTAATATATTGGTGATCTTGAAGGATTGTTGTTAATTTTCTTGTTTACCAATTTTTCTTTTACCTCTTTGTTTTTATGATTTGTTAGCCTTTCTTGTCTATCTAGCCTTATCGTGCACTCATATTGGAGGATTGTTCTTTATTATGACCATAATCTCTTAAATTACCTAAGAACCTAAGGAGCATTTGAGTGGTAAAAGGTAAAAATATTTTCAATATTTTTTTTATTGTTGCTTTTGATCTATTTGTTATGATGACAAATGAGGACAATTACAATCAAGGAGGATGACTTAGTCCAGTTCAAAGGAGAGTATTAACATAACATTTGGAAGGATTAATCATATGACATAACAATGAACTCTATGAAAGATTGGATCGATTGGAGAATAGAGGTCTTGCAGATGAAGAAGAAAGAAGAAGTAGGAGAAAGAATGGTGGAGTAGTAAGACCAAGTAGGCTTGAATAAGTCAAACTTAATATTTCTCCAGTCAAAGGAAAAAGTGATCCGGAGACATACTTGGAGTATGAGACGAAAATAGAACATGTTTTCTCATATAACAATTATGAGGAAACCCAAAATGTGAGGCTTGCAGCCACAAACTATGCTATTGTTTGGTGGGACAATCTACCAAAGGAGAGAGCTAGAAATGAGAAGTTGATGGTTGATGCATAGACTGAGATGAAAAGGATCATGAAGAAATGATATGTGTCGACTAATTACTCAAGGGACTTGAAATTCAAACTCCAAAAACTTACGCAAGACAACAAGGGGGTTAAGGAGTGTTTCAAGGAAACAAGTGTGTTCATGATTCAAGCAAAGATTGAAGAAGATGAAGAGGTAACTATAACTCAATTTATTAGTGGTTTGAATAATGATATACGTGATATTGTTGAGTTGTAAGAGTTTTTTGAGATAGAGGATTTGCTTTATAAAACAATTCGAGTGGAGCAACAACTCAAAAGAAAAGGAATGACTAAGAAGAGTTCTACCAACTTTGGATCTTCAAGTTAGAAGGATAGGGGCAAGAAAGATGGGACTGCTACTTCTAGTAGTTCCACACCTATTCCTGCAAAGATTCCCTTCTAAAAATAGTAGAGATGTGAAATGTTTCAAGTGTCAAGGCCTAGAACACTATGCTTATGAGAGTCCTTACAAAAGGTTCATGGTTCTTAGAGAGGGTGAATATATAAGTGAATCCGAGGTTGAAGAGGGAGAGGAGAGTGAGGACATTGAGGAGGAGAAAACTCTAAAGGAAGATTTATTGATGATTAGGTGATTACTTTGTAGCCAATTGAAACCTATGTAAGAAAGCCAAAGAGAAAACATCTTTCATACTAGATGTTTAATTAAGACAAGGTGTGCATGGTGATCATAAATGAAGGTAGTTGCTCCAATGTGGCTAGTGCTAGATTAGTGTCAAAGCTAAATTTAGCTACTAAATCACATCTTAGACCTTATAAACTTCAATGACTTAGTAAGGATGAAAATGTGCAAGTGAGACAGCAAGAAGTGTGTGAGAATCAAAAGAAAATGAGAGAAAAACTTCTTCAAGAAAAGAGAGAAAAAGAAATCATTAGTGAAAAACTAGAGAGAAAAAAGAGTGATGAAAATAAAAATGAAACACTTAAAGTGAAGAAGAGTTATTTAGCCACAAAAAGTGAGGTCAAGAGGATGCTTCTTGCTAAACAACCCCTATACGTCTTCATTTGTAAAAATCAAATTTTGACCACTAATACATTTGATAATTTTGAATTTCCTTCTAATGTTAAATCTTTTTTGCAGGATTTTCAAGATGTGTTTCCAACAAGTGTGCCAAGTGGAATACCACCTTTGAGGAGAATTAAGCATCAAATTGATCTCATTCCGAGAGTTTCATTGCCCAACAAACCAGCCTATAGAAGCAATCCACAAGAAACCAAAGAGATTCAAAGACACGTGGATAAACTCATTAGCAAAGGTTAGGTAAGAGATAACACGAGTCCTTGTGCTATTTCTGTAATTTTGGTCCCTAAAAAATATGGGACCTGACACATGTGTTCCGATTATGGAGTCCTTAATAACATCACCATTAAATATAAGCATCCTATACCTAAGCTTGATGATTTGCTTGATGAATTGCATAGTGCATGTTACTTCTCTAAAATTGATTTAAAAAGTGGATACAATCAAATTAGGATTA